TCACTCCTTACAGCAACTTCCCTGGACATTTACCAATTTTTCATTGCACTTTTTCAAATGTAACATCCATGAACAGTTAAGTACTCAAGGTACGTTTTGACAAATGTAACATAAAAGCTGAGAATCTACTTCTCATGATCTCACCAGTCTTACTCTGTTCCTATAATCTATGATTGCATTTCCTTTTTTTTTTTTACCCTGCTGGCTCACATTCAAGCTACAACAAGGCACTCAAATCCTTTTCACGTATATTTTTGCCAAGTTTGCTCTCACCCTTCCCACCTGCTTTTTATCCTTTTGTTGCTCAATGTTGAACTTAAAATTTATTTCTGTTGAATTTCATCTTGTTAGTTTAGACCTGTCAAGATCATTTGAATTTTGATTATGTATTCCCTAGTACTGATAACCCTTGCCAACTTTCTGTCTGCTACCAATTTGATAAGCCAACCACCTCTCTTGCATTCAAATTCAGTGATCAAATAATGGAAAGGCAGGGCCTAACTTAAGTCAATGGGACATCTTTTCAAAATCTCCTTGCAGGATGGCACAAAGCCATAAATAAGCACTTGTGTGGTCATTGTTTAACCAATTATGATCCACCCAACAACAGTCTTTTCCAAGCTACATCTGGACATTTTGTCAAGCCTCACTTTACATTTTTGGCAAACCATTTCTGAGAGGCAGCTTCACCACGAAGACCAGACCATGGCTAGGAAGGCTAAGACTACTTTTATTGAGAGTAGCTATAATAACAGAATCTGGCAAATCTGATTGTGCTTTTACCTCCTCCTCATCTAATACCGATATGAATTAGGGAGATGTCTATTTGAGACATTCCTGTGTACTTCCTGCTTGTTTTGAATTCAGGTTTTTCTCCCTTGTTGCTTTGATAATGGATCTCATCTATCTATTATACATTAAGATTATGTCCCTTACTCTCTACACTGAACATTGGAAATAATAAAACTGTCAATTTTTATAACATTCTTTGATACTGTATGTTCCCAATCAACCTCCTCTTATAACTCTTCTGATCTAGGGAAAAAAAAATAGGAATAGGGTAGCTATTTCTTTCCAGAGAAAAGTACTATATTTTGGGATTCAAAACCCCCCATAAATGCCATGGTGCTGAGGCTTCATTATAAAAGTGCATCTCAAATACAGAAGGGCATAATTAAAAGCTTCAAACCTTCCAGAGCTTTCAATATACAACTCTCCAAACACTGCCAGCAGCAAACCGTAAATGCCCATGTGATGAATAGAGGTTATTAAATCAGCGCAGAATCAGTATCACTAAAATGACTTTATTGAACTGCAATTAATTTTTCATATATATTTTTTTCATATAAATTAAATTAAGCTAAATTTTATCCTGGGCCCACCACTTTGCCAGTCCTACTTACTTGCAACCATTGATGTAAAAACATGTATATGCTTTTGCTCTAAGACACTGGTTCCCTTAAAACATATTTTCCCTCTTCTAACAACTTCTGTTGATTTCATCTTCTATAGAAACATATTTATCATCACAGATGATCAACCTATAAGTTACTCAGGCCAGGTTAGCTGTCTGGTTCTTTCATGATACTTATATTTATCTCATCCCTCAAATTCCAAATTTATCTGACCTTGGGGAGGATACACCTTTCTCAGAAGCCTAGAAGACTTTAGCAGAAGACTGGCAGTCAGCCAGCCTGTATAAATTCCTAACTGAGTGCAGATTGCTTCTTCCTTCCAAGAGTATGCATCAAGGCCATTTTTCCCCCCAGGAAGCTTTAAGCTAAGCTTGTTGGATTTGCCAGGGCAGACCTCAGATTGATTTGCAGATATCCCTCATGGGGCTGAAGAAGTCAGGAAGAAAACCTTACTTCATTATTCATTTGCATGCCTGTTGAGCACAAAAAGAAAAACGTTCTCCTTTTTCTTAAACCTTACTTACGTTGATTTTCCACATATTTTCTTCTGGTACCACAGTTTGCAATTCGGCATGTATTTCTTGTTGGTTCCAATGAGTTTCAGCACAGCACATACATTGGGGCTACAAATCAAAGGAGAAATATTATTGTGCATTTCTCCATTCACAGCTTGGCATTCAAACATGTCTTGAGAATACATCAGAAATAAACACTGCAAAGATTAAGAAATGTTTTATTGTTGTCATTGTTGAACTTCCAGGAGATAGAATATAAAAGAACTATTATAAACTCAACCGGGACTTGACATTAAAGCAAGATCAGGGCTTGTCTTCCTCTGAATTAATAATTAAAAAATACTTTTTCCCCTCTGACAATCATAACAATAATTTTAAGAGCTTAAGTTAGAACAGTATATTTTCTATCAAGGCAGCTAGCGAATGTACCACCAAATATCATTGGTTATACTGCCTCAACTCTCTTACAACCATGATTCAAGATGTCTCATGTGTTCATGGTTAAGAAAGCTATTTCAAGTCATGTCTTGATGATAAGTCTTCATGGTTTGATGATAAGGCTGGTTGTTTGATTTACGGTATATAGCCTCTTATCTCAAATTCATAACTCTGGACAAGTTACAGCAGTTAAAAGCAATATAAATACTGTATATAAAACCAGGTAACAAATTGTATAATATAATCTGCACCTGAAATATTCAAAACTATCAATATTCCACACAACAACTATGCACTTTATTCCACATCTGGTCCCCAGTTCTGGGTGGCAACGTCATGTCTCTAAATCCTTGCAAAAGTTTTTAGGTTTGGAGCCAATCTGATCTTTAGGAGAATGTTTTAGCAAAGGGCAGATATCACAATAGAACATGCTTTCTTCTTTGACCCTACCAGTTGACATTTCCTAAAAGACAGGATTCTCCTGTCAAACCTAATGCAATGTCAAATCCATACTTTTGCATGCATGTTATCATGCTGTAACAACACATTGCATATGGATATGCTACTGCCAATATTCCTTGAAATGTTTTGTGTATAAATATAAAAGTATATAAAGCTGAATTCATAGTTAGCTGAGCTCCCTTTGGGGTAGCACCAAGAGAAAACAATATATTAAGTAGTATAGAAGAAGAAATAAAAGAAATGTTGAGATGGCAATGAGTTATGGCCAACAACCTCTACTTTTGAAAGAAAAGCAATAATGTATTTTTCACAGTCTGTTTCAGCTTACGCATAATAATAGGACAGGTAGACATGAAGAGAACTATAGAAAAGAATCGAATAGGAATAGGAACCTATCAATTATCTTCCAGCTCCAACATTATCTTTTTATTTAGTTCTACCATTAAACAATGAAAATGAACTCATGAGAAACTCAACTAACTCAATATTCAATAATAAGAATAAGTAAATCATAAAATATAAAAATCTGCAAATAGAAGCAGAATGCTTCTGGCAAAAGAAAGCAAAAATATTATCAATATTAATAGGTGCCTTGAATGTCATTCCATCTGAACACTATCAGCATTGAAAAAATCAGCACCAGTCAATTGCAAAAGGCAGCTTTATTTGGAACAGCTTACAACCTGAGATGGTTAAACAACAATATCTGCCTATCTTAGGTCCTTGGGAAGCACTTGATAGGGGGACAAAAATTTAAATTCCAGTCTAAAAATCTGGTGGACTGTAAAATGGGAAGGTAAATCAAATGCTGCTGGAAGTGAACAGTATTTTATGTGCTCTCCCAATGAAGATCAAATGATGGTATGGATACTCCTTAGAGTTGGATTTGGATGTGGGAGTCCCCATTTAAATGATCGCTTAGCAGCCAAGCTCTTTCATTAGCCTTGGGGAATAATTTTTCCCAAGATGCCTTCAATCAAAAGGTAAGGTTGAGGAAAGATAACAGGCTACCCTCAACTTCTTAAATTTTTAAAAGAAATTAACAATACCCAGGAACAAACCCATTAACTAGTCTGTGCAACTGATGTTCCAGTTACTAATACCAGACCTACTTGTTTTAAAAAAAATACTAGTGGACATCCCACATCTTGTAGCAGTCAATCTAAGTTAGCTAAACAGCATAGGAATTGGCATATTCGTTTCTTATGAATCTGGTCCTATATTTAACTGGAAATGATACTGAGATTGACGTGAGCCACCATTGGGTTAGAATGGTTTNGCACAGCACATACATTGGGGCTACAAATCAAAGGAGAAATATTATTGTGCATTTCTCCATTCACAGCTTGGCATTCAAACATGTCTTGAGAATACATCAGAAATAAACACTGCAAAGATTAAGAAATGTTTTATTGTTGCCATTGTTGAACTTCCAGGAGATAGAATATAAAAGAACTATTATAAACTCAACCGGGACTTGACATTAAAGCAAGATCAGGGCTTGTCTTCCTCTGAATTAATAATTAAAAAATACTTTTTCCCCTCTGACAATCATAACAATAATTTTAAGAGCTTAAGTTAGAACAGTATATTTTCTATCAAGGCAGCTAGCGAATGTACCACCAAATATCATTGGTTATACTGCCTCAACTCTCTTACAACCATGATTCAAGATGTCTCATGTGTTCATGGTTAAGAAAGCTATTTCAAGTCATGTCTTGATGATAAGTCTTCATGGTTTGATGATAAGGCTGGTTGTTTGATTTACGGTATATAGCCTCTTATCTCAAATTCATAACTCTGGACAAGTTACAGCAGTTAAAAGCAATATAAATACTGTATATAAAACCAGGTAACAAATTGTATAATATAATCTGCACCTGAAATATTCAAAACTATCAATATTCCACACAACAACTATGCACTTTATTCCACATCTGGTCCCCAGTTCTGGGTGGCAACGTCATGTATCTAAATCCTTGCAAAAGTTTTTAGGTTTGGAGCCAATCTGATCTTTAGGAGAATGTTTTAGCAAAGGGCAGATGTCACAATAGAACATGCTTTCTTCTTTGACCCTACCAGCTGACATTTCCTAAAAGACAGGATTCTCCTGTCAAACCTGAGATTACTGAGATTGACGTGAGCCACCATTGGGTTAGAATGGTTTTTATAAGCTAAATAAGGGGGGGGGGGGTTAGTTTCCATTTGCAAGGAGATAATATCACAACAGTAGACCAATAAAATTGTTGGGCAGCCTTCCACAATCTAATTCACTCTGGGAGGTTGGAGTATAACTCACATCATCTCAACACTTCCATTGTTTGGAAGAGTGGGAATTATGATCCAGCAACTCTGTCTATAGTTCACCAGATAAAAATCTCAATGCAATTCTTAGATAAACAGGCCATTGAAAGGATTAACTTAATTTGCTTGAATTACATTCAAAGCCTTCTAAAAGCCTTTTATCTTTGGCATATATCAACTTGATTGGTTTCATCTTTGAGTTCAACATGCCTCTTGAACTTTAATGCTATCTGTTCCATTTGATTTACGAGAACACACATCTCAAGGGGGAAAATGAAACCAGAGGTTCTTTCTTATGTAGGGTAGGCCAGCTGATAAAATTAGGTAGAATGGCTGCTTCAAACATCTGGTTCTGTGTGGCAAGGAAGAGCAACCCAGAATTATTGTTGTTGTACAACATTGTTACATTGTGATGGGTGACCAGTTGCTTTGAGACTTTGTCCCTCAGATGCCAAAATAATTTAACTAAGAGATCTGGATTTCACTTTGACACAGGAAACAAACATATCTTGTGTCAGGCCTGACAACAAGCCAAGTAACACAGATACACATGTATAGATTGATGGCATCTGGACCTTTGGTTTGTTTCTCCATGGCATTAAATAAAAGGTTGATACCTATGACTTTAATGTATAAAATCAATAAACTCCAAGTCTTCAAGCTCTATCTCAGAACAGCACCTCTCAGCAAAAAGCAGAAATTCACATAATTTGGGCAGATAATACAAGCCTATGAATGGACAAATAATCACTATGATTATCAAAGTTAAGAGGAGTAGAAGGAAAAGAGAAACAGAGAAGGTGATGAATTAAGAAAAGATCTCTGAATTATCTTTGGAAGAGCCATGAACTTTTTGAAAGGCCTGTCAAAAGTGTTGCTATAGTTACCAGAAGACAAACTCAATTGGTTAGTATATTCCCTAACTATTAAGTTCTACTTTCCACCTATATGGTATATCTTGAGTGAGTGAGAATAAGTTAATACCATGTGGCTCATTATCCAGAGACAGGAGACAATTCATTCTAAAATAGGAAACTTGGCAAAAATTAATGATAAAGATGACAGTGAGGATTATGTGTACACATACAAATGTATACATACATGAAGTTTGCCTTAAACATCTGGTTTGACAAGCAAGTGCCTGTTTAAGTTGAAGAAAGGTTACTGAGGCTCTGAAATTCCACTGAAAGGGAACACCCTTCTTGGAAAGCCAAGTCAGTGGTTTGGCTAGACTTGCAAATTTGGATAATAATAATTGGAGAAACCCAAGAAATGCTATACAATTCTGATAGTGCAGAAATATACAAATGACAAAATGGATTAGCTGGATCCATTTGACTTCCTAGAAAGAAAATATAGTAGCCCAAATCGTTGAACAGTGGCAGGTTATAAAGAACACATCCACTAGTTTAACCTAGAGGCTTGTATCACATAAACACTGAAGTTCTGCTCAGATTTTTATTATTATAGAGGCAGAATCCTTGGAGTATATCTGGAAATATTTGTGACAATGGTCCACCTTATCAAATACTTTTTATCTCTGCAATGTATATAATGAATTTCTTTAGCCATAATCCAAATATCTGGAAAGTAAGGCAAGAAAGTTTCCTCCTTATGAAATGCTGATGTCTTGCAGATTATGAGTTTTCTCTTTTAAGGTATTTTCCATCTCATGGATGCAAAGGTGATTATCATCATAACAAATGAATATGGGGATTTTGAATCTATAGACAGGAAATTGGCTGGAAAACGTAAGAGGGAAGTATACACAGTACAAGAACTCTTAATTATTACCAGAGATTAAGTGCAGATATTTACTACATTCTGTGATGGGACCAGGATGTAGAGGTTAGCCAGCAGTAGTCTCAACCATAGTGCCAGCATTTATATTCCTGCAGTACATGTCATTTCTCAAAGTCAACATACTTTCAGGCCACACTGGAATTTCATCTGGACAATATAAGGTCTCTGATTTGAAAGCTTTCCAATCTAA